GCGAAGTGACAAGAACAGCTCTTGCAGGTCTGTGCTAATCACCCTGCTGACAAGTTTGAGCACGAGGGCAGCTTGGTTCTACACTCCGAAAATAGGGGCTGAGAGGGAGCTGTGATCTTCTTAATACGCTGTGGAGCAGCTTGGCCCTTTTAACTTTATGAACCGCAAAAACGACCTGTAAGAACATCTTGTTGGTGATCTTTTAGAGAGCAACGCGCTGCCCTGCCTCTAAAGCGATGCCCTTGTGGGATGCTCATTTTGCATGTTACTGCTCGTTACCCAAACAAGATGCGACAGTTGACCGCTGAAGCTCCTGGAAGACTTGCTGACAGTTGATGTGGGACATTTCCACTGGTCTTGTAATAAGCAGTGTTTTGTCTGTCGCATTGTGAGGCTGCAGTAATTGTTCCAAAGCAACTGGTGTGTCTGTGTGCGGTGGTGCAGCGGGGTCTTGCAGGGCACAGGCTTACAACCGCGGATTGTAAGCGCATGCTGTCCTTAGCTGAACTGAGTTTAGAGCTGCTGCCAAAGGCAAAGATGCTCAGCCCTTCTGAAAATTAGTGGGTTTGCAGTAAAATGCTGTTCTCTGTGACTGCAAATAACAGATAGCTATTGCTTTGTAAAGATTAATAACCTTTTATTTTAATGCCAATTACGTAAACTTGGTGTCTTCTATCTTTCAGATTCCTCTTGTGGCACTTCCAGAATAAGCTGTAAAACTGAAGGCATTGCAGTGACTATCGGGAGTTAACCTTTCTTTTAATGACCTAAGCTTAGACATCTAGGTCTATAAATGCTTTTATAGATGTTTAAAACAGGGTTTGACATTTGTGACCACTATGGGGTTATTTAAAAAAACAAAACAAAAAACAATAAAACCTCTTGCATCTAACACTTGAATGGGGCTAATCAGGGGTCATTTCAAAAGGGCCTTTGTAGGAATTCTAGGACTTCAGAAATAAAACTGTAAGTAGAACAGAAATGTAGATTGTCCTAGAATTTTCTGTATTTTTGTACCTGTTCATTGCATCAGTGGAGTAGAATGGAAATAGAAATGTTACAGAGTTCGACTAAAAGGAAACAGGGTTGGCCAAGGGTTAAAAGCAAAGCTAAATTTAATGCCCTCAAGTAACTGGCTTTATCAGTTCAGTGCTATCCCTCTCATTTCTCTCAGAGCAGAGTTTGAGTGGTAGGGGAGATGGAATACAGTCTGCAAAGTCCTGAAAAAGAGAACTGGTTTGTGTCTTTGTATTAAATGTTAACAACATTGTTAAATAAACTAAGATTTTTGTATCTCATAACCAACTGTGTTGCAGTTCTCAGTCCTTTACTTCAGCGAGCAGCTGGCAACTCTGAGCTGACATCCCTTGAGTTTTAGCACTCTCTTCTGTAACAAAGTCCAGTGAAGCCATTTTCGTCCTTTACCTAGATGCGAGAATAAAAGGGCAGAACACTTGCAGAGTGTGCCTGTAGGATACAAGTAGTCTGACACATCCCAAACTTAGGAACCCAACTTTAGATTGCCAAGAGCTTAGTCCTGCTGGAGCTTTTACTGTTTCATCTCTCTGCGTGGTGTTGTTCTTGCCATGGGGCAATGGCAGCAAATTCAAGGGTTTTTTCCCCCCAGTATTCAGATTAAAGTCTGATACTAAACTTTTTCCACTTTCAGTTGATTTGGAAGTTGACTTGTGGGGTTTTTTTCAGTATTATTATGTTGCTATATGAAAACTTTTCTTTACCAGCCCTACACTCTTGGAATCGTATTGAGTGGTCCTGCCCTGCTTAGCGTGTTGGGATATGGTTTGGTTTCAAGGTATGTGAAAATTATAACCACTCTTTGTTGAATATTCATTAGGAATGCCAGTCAAATTAGTGATGATTTAATAGTCTTATGAACTATTGACGTTGCTGAATAAATGAAGTATTGAGCATGTTATGCAACAAGACATTCTACAAGAGTGTCTTTCCTAGCCACTTTGTATACATTATGTATTTATGTAAATGCATGCATGTTTTTGTTAGAGATACAGAGTAACAAAGGAGGTTACAGAGTGATGCTTTAATTTTTGCACTGGGATTTGGAGAATCTTCACATAGTGAGATTTCGGGACAGCTAAGGAGTACTAGAACTCTACCAACACCATAATTTAGGAAAGCAAGCTCATAACAATTCTAAATTCATGGTTCATGGTTAAAACAGCCTTTGGATTTTTTTTTTTTTTCCTGCTGTATAACTTGGTTGTTGGAGTGTGGTCTTTCTGTTGGTTTTCTTATTAAACTGCAGACTACCTTTTACATATCCTGGCAGATGGGCACAGTTAACCTACAGGGCAGCTGGACTATACACAGCTCCTCTCAGTACTCTCAGGCTATGTCTGAGGAGTAGGAAGCTCCAGAAAGGAGAATCTGTGTTGTATTGATACAGAGCTGCAGGAGCAGATGTTTTATGGTGCTTCCAGTCAAACCAACGGCCTAAGATTAATTTCGGTCAGGCGGAAACAAACCTGGATGAGCCCTGAAGGTGGTATTGTGGAGTGTTGTGTGTGGATTTACAAGTTTTATTTTTAATAAAACTTTGTATTTAAGCTATGTGTAAGTGTTCTAGGAACACTTATACTTCGTCAGCATTCATTACTTTGAATGTAAAATACTTTTTTTCTTTACTACCAAAAATAGTTAAATTGTTCAGTTTGTAACTTGGTTTTATTTTTCATTCTTTCTGCTTTTTGTTTTTTGCTTTTGTTTTGCCTTAAATTAATCAATTTGAGGCTTGTCTATTTCTGAGTGATTTTTTTTTTTTAAATTCTACTTCTAGTGGCTATAAATAGAGCAACTGCTTGTTAATCACTCAGACTTTTACCAGTTTTTTTTTAAACTCTGTGTTATGCCAAAATAAACAATGTAGACATACAGAAGTCAGATCTGACCTCTTTGCTTTATGGACTTTGCTTCTGCAGGCTGTCAAAAATGACGTGGAAGTAGGGCCTCTCATCTAACAAATCTTGGCCGCCTGCAGGTTTGTATCTCTGCTTTCTCTTTTCTCTGGCTGCCTGTTTTTATGCTTTTTGAGGTTTGAGTCCTTTAATGTGTGGGCCTCATGGGCTCAAAGGAGACATGCAAATCAGTTCATCACGTAAGGCTCATTTCCTTAAGAAATTAGGCTAAAAACTGGGCTTGAGTACACTAGTAAAGGCAAAGTCCCAGGGAGGGAAAAAAAATATCTGTAAGGTATGGATCACTTTTTAAAAATATGTAAAAAGGATAAAAAGCAGTAAAACAAGAAAGTGACAGGTAGAAGCCTCCCAAAACATCTGTTTTAGAAGCAGTACATGGTGTAAAAGTACATGTTTTTCAGAGGTCTTATGTATCGGGTTTCTGCTCTGGCAGCCCTCCGCAGCCGCGTTATAAATCAGCAGATAAATGTAAAGCCAGCTGAAGGGTGACATCTTACCAGGCTCACAGTGTGGTGGTGTGTAGTCCTTGCCATGAAGAGTTTTACCACAGATAAGTTTCCTTTAGTAGGCCTACTCACACTAGTATCAAAGAGCTGCTGAATGATAACCCAGCAGTTCTAGTTCTCTTCAGTGTATTGGCAGGCTACTTTTTTTAATTTTATTTTAATGACTGAATATAGGGTCATGGATAAGATTCTTTTCTATGAAAAGCATGTTCAAACAGTTGATTTCATTTTGCAATATAATCTTAAAGGTACCCTGGAAAATCAAAACGAGAAAAGATTTTATTGCAATAAGTAAGAAATTACATGAAAACATTTACTTCCCAAACTCTTGCAAAAAAGATAGCTGACAATAGTAGCTGTTCAAGACTTGGTTCATAATTTCACTGTGGAAAAAACCCCTGTCTGATTCCTTCCCTTTCTCTTAGAATATGGTCTGCAAGGTGACTTGGGTAATGAGCTGAGGGGCTGACTACTGAGATCTTTGTAGAACTTGTTAACCATCTCTCCTTTCAAACCTAGTAATTATAAAGTGAAAAACTGATTTTAGTCTTAAATTTGAAAAATATATATTTTGGCATATGTAAAAATTACGATGAATCCAGAAGAAGAAACCTCATTCTAGAAACGGAACTTCAGAGGATGGCACCTATCGGTGGTGTTCTCCTCAGCTGAGGCTATAAAGGGCATCTTTGTGCCAGTTTGTGTATGTAGCTTTCCTGTGGTTTTAGCTCTTTTATTTATTCTCCTATATTGCAAATTCCTTTATTTCAAGAAAAATAGCTGATAAGAGTTACATAAAATCAAGGAAAAATAAGTTCCACATGATTTATCCCTATACACTGTGTCTCTCTTACTATGTGAAGAGGCAGCAGTAATCTCTGATAAAGCGGGAGGGGGGTGGTTTGTTTGCCAAAAATGCCCTTTTTATGTGTGTGTCCACAGAATTTGATGGTACTTCATTACCTCTCCTTCCAACCAAGATAAACACTCAGACTATAGTGGGACAGGATGGGTCAGAGCCTTCTGGTAAGGAAGCGAGGGGTTACTTACCTGCGCTCGAGTATTATTAGAACAATGCTGGTCCTACAGACTTAATTTTGGTGTAGGGTACCTCTACAACAGAGCTGTGGAGACTCTTCTAGGGAGTAGTGTAGCCTTTCTTCCTCTCAGAGGTACGTATATTGCAAGTAGGAATATGGTGAGGTCAATATAAGAATAAAATCTTCAGCTCCTTTTTTGCAGGTGCCTTCTATGGGAAGAAATCCAATAAAATCAAACCTTGAAAGGACTGGGTATTTCTTTAAAATTAGTTTTGCATGCTGTTGTAATAAAGGTCAGCAAATGGCACTTATGGCTAAAGTGAAAAAGTTTCAATGTTTTAACAGTCCTTCACATTCATATGGGTTAACTGAAAATGTTGGCAGATATTCTCAAAATCCCACTATGCTATTACAAAATAAGTATTTGAATACAAAGTTGTAAGTCACATATTTCAAACATGAAATCTGAAAATACAATGGAAAGGTGGTGGGGCAGTTGATGTCAACAGCTTTCTGAAAGCTTCATGTCTGCAGATGTTGAAAGTATTTTTTTAATGTAGTACTGCTAGATTTCAAAATTTGATGTCTCAGGATATCCGAGGAAGGATTTCATCCCATATGAAAGCCACAAGTATTGTACCTGAATAGAGAAATTAGAGAAAGGACCTTTATTTAAATGTATTTGAGAAAGACACAGCTGGTATTGAAAATACACATTATGTTCAAGTATTTGAGTGTCTAGCATGCAATACAGCAGCGATTGCAGAAAAATCAAATTTTCTGTTGGGAAGGTTAGAGGCAGTCAGTGCTTTTTGCAAACAGTCTTTTTCACAAAGAAAACTTCAACAGACCGTGCAAATGATCCTTATGAGTTGATAATCTTGGTTTTTTTCTTTGGATATTTCATGTTTTAATTCTGATCTGTATAAGCCATTCCCTAAATAAGCAGAATTTTGTTCTCCTGAAGTCCAAAGTCTGAACAGCTCTGCTGTTTACCTTCCCAGTCTTCCTCTGGACCCTGAACTCTTGTGAGGACTACAACCCAAGTGGCCACATTCACCACCCGTTTTTCTGTTTGTAAGCAGGTCAAGTACAGGATTACCACTCACTGGCCCTTTCGTATTTGAATTGGACTTGAGTAGTGACAGTTTTCTAAGAACTTCCTGGATGCCAATCACTTCACTGCACATGGACTTGCAATTCTTGTTTTCTTTGCTAAGCTCCATGCTTAAGTGTACTGAACTTGATGGAAACCTCTGAATACCCTCTCCTCTGAGCAGAAGGGTGAAAGTTTTCACCTGTAGCCTTCCTTCTCCCTTGCTTACCTCCTCCATTTATATCTACTGCTAAGTGACTTTTGTGGCACGCACTTACTTTCTATCCTGATGGTGAAAATCTTTTTCTTCTAAGGAATACTATTAGTCTTTCTGGTAAAACTAATCTAAAGAAGTGAGCATTCATTCTGTTTTTATAGTGTTAGAAAACTGGCAGGATGCTAAGCTGGCACCTGTCTAGGAAAGAGCATTTCATTTTATTGCCCTCATGTCCACTATCTTGTCACCAACTCTTCCATTCATAGCTGCCCTTGCATTGGTACTGAAAGAGAAGCATTAGCTCAGTCCCCATTTTTACTAAGGGTGTAATCATGCCTGGACAACTAACAAGAATATTTTTTTTGGCAGTAAAACAGAAACTATCTTTGTTCTACTGGTATTTACTGCTTCTGTGTTCACAGTCCAGAATTTAGGCCTGCTCAGTCATAAACACTTGCTGACATCTGTATTTACTACAGGAATTAGTTGTTTTAGTGCTACTGGAGAATCACCTTTACCAAAATGTCAGTGAAGCCATTTTGAAAAATGAATTCTTAAGTACAGTTCCAGGATTATATTCATGAAAGACCATAAACCACCAGTAGATTTGTTAATCCTAAAAGAAAACTTCCACTTCCTCTTCCTCTTGTGAAGGTGATAATCTTTCTCTTGTTCTAAGTGTCCTTTCTAAGCAAATTGGTTTAAAGTTGGCAGTTAAGAAGTCGCTTATGGCTAGATCAGGGTATCCATTATATACTGAACGGTCTCAGGCTCCTTGTCCTCGTGGGTGTTTGCTATGCCCATAAATGAGATCATACTGCACTTTGCACAGGCAATTTGAAGTTTCATGGTATGCTAGTCCCTGGTTCAGCAAATCACAAAAAAACCTAGACTCCTAAAAGAATTCCTCAAAATAAGAGCAAAGTAATTTAACCATCTAAGATGCTGATGCTGGGAAAAGTGAGATATCAGGTTAGCATATCACTATGACTCTGCCAGTTTCTAGGAAATATGAAACAGTATTTCTGCTGACACATGGATTCTGAAAGTAACTTTTACAACTAAATTTAAAATATCCCTTCCCTCATCACCTACTTTCATGATTCTGCTTAAATATTCTTTTCACAACAATTTTATTGTCATCGTAACAGGTCATTTTCCTACATGCCTCATCATTTGGTGCAATTTTGGAAGAAAAAAATCTATTCCTATTATTTTCTTATTTTCAAAAAGTGTCAGAAAAATTTCTTTTCGTGTTAGATTTGTAGATGTGCACTCCTGTATTCATCAATTCAGTTTTCAAATACAACTATCTCCTCTATGCTTCCACCTCTGACACCTTACATTTGCTTACAACTCTTGGTTTATAAGATAAGGTCTATATGTATCCATGAAGCTCCCTTGTTTTGTAATGAGATATCTGTATTACCAATAGGCTACTCAGCCCTTCAGGTGACCCACAGACCTGTGATCTGTAGCTAAATGTTTGGCTACAGTAGTGACACTACAAAAAGTGACATGTCCTGAGTATTCGCCTCTTTACAACTGCTTGGTCTGGAGTTCCTTTCCCTCATAAATTAGGAGAATGCATTCAATACATTCTGTATGTATTTTCTGTATGTTAACTAACGATAAAGTGCTGTTTATGAATTTTCACAGAAATAAAACATTACCCCCTAACCGCATTCTAAATTCCTCAGGTCGTGGTTCCATTTGTGTTAACATCTGTTAATTTTCTTACTCAAGACAAAATCACCTGAAGGCTTTCTGCAAAGCAGTTCTGCAGGATGCATCTTGCTAAGTAGAACATGGTGTTTTGTCTGAAACATGTTCTGCCTCCTGTTTCTTTAGATCCCTTGTCAAAATATTAAAGCCCAAGTACTTACAACCCAGACAATCTCAAAATGGGTATCAGGCTGAAATCTGTTAATATACCAGAAAGGTAAATGTGAAATCTAAGGAATATCATATATTCTGCTAGGACCCAGCTTTGCTGAAGACATTTCATTAGCTACTAACTGGAGTAGCGCATGGGGTTTTATCAAGCTTATTCTGTTGTTCATTCATCCTGTTTGGATGTCTAATTTAACAAAATTATATTATAGTGAATTTTAGTTTGACTAAAAATTCTGTCTCCATTTTTGACTGAGAGTCACTGTAAGTAGAACACGCACAGACATGGACTCAAAGAAAAAGAAATCATTTGTAATAACTGGAGCCCTTTGAGATGTTTCCTCAGTGTTTTTCACAGCCCACCTTCTTTCCAATACCACTGTAGTACCTTCTAATAGGATTAAGAGACATGAAAGGACTCGAGATTAGTTGACTGCTGCTTTATATACCCTCTAAGCAGAAGGCTCAAGATTTGTAGGGACTAACTGTAAACAATCAACAGCATGAAGTATTACTTGGAGCTTTTTCATCTGCACACAACTAGAAGTTAAAAATCAATAGCTTCCAAATTAAAACCATAATTTAAGTTAGAAAAATTCCAGTTACTAATAGTCCATATTCTTAAACTAAGAACAGATTGTTTCTAACAGTGATTGGGGCAAAAATGTAGAATGGGAACTGCAAAGTTTAGACACTATGCAGATAAAAAAAATCTGATATTATAATAGTAATAATTGAGAAAGCGTATTTTAAGCATCTGTCCTAATACTTCTGGTTTGCTTTTTTCTTTTTAATTAATCATCCCCATGTTCTTGTATACTGTCACAAAGCAAGACAGAAACTGCATGCTAGCTACTATGTTTCTCTTTTGAACTTAATCAGGCTAATATTTACTTTCAGGTAGCCTCCTGTCCTTTTTAATATTCTCCTAGAATCTACAAGTGCACCTTTGGTCAGTGTGAGAATATGCAGCATACCTCAAACAGGCTGGATTTTAATACCAAGGCATAAAGTCCCAAACAACAGGCAGCTTTGAAAGGATCATGCTCCGAAGTAAACAGCTGTTGGTTTATAACTAACCAGTTAACCCTAACCTAAACACTAACCTTTTTCCATTTAGAATTGTGCTGTGGTGGTTTTTTTGGTAGGTACATTATATCTTGGTCAAAGTATCCCAAAGGTACTTAGACTTTGAACGTGACATCTAAACTAAAAAATTATATAACCTAATATGGTTGTTTCCTGATCTAAACAGTAGATATTATTTTGTGAATGAAACTGTTGTTTAAAACTCAGTATTAGAGTCACAAAACAGTGTTACAGGTGTTCTACATAGAGCATTAAATGAGTTTAAAATATGTAGCTTACATTTGCAACACAAACCCATGATTCTGAATGACTTTTACATGTACGTTATAATTGACCATTTTCTGGATTTTATTTAGAACAGAACACGAGCAGGCTATTAAAGAATAGCCATTTTTTGAAGCATGTGCTAAATAACACTTAAATACATAAAGTATTAAGAACTTACCTAAGGATGGTGCTATCCAATATACTAGTGAGTAACTAAAAAATTTGTCATAGAAACAATTTGCATGTAATGAAAAAGCCAATGCTGGGTTAAATATTGCTCCTGTGAGATTTCCACCTGCAATAAAATATAAACAATATAAAATCAAACCACCTTTCTTTATTTTAAATTAATATTGAAATGCACATACACAATACTACAAGAAATGTACACACCCTGCAATAAAATGAATTAGCAGAAAGCATTTGAACAGATAAACTCTTCTGAAGTTATTTACCTGATGATATGGTTAACAGTTTAACTGTTTTCTAAAATGCTTTAAAATATCTGAGGTGTAGGCTATAACTTCCTTTATCTCTTTCTAGCAAATATTCTTTGAAGAGAAGGATTTGGCTAATGTTGAATGTTTCTATTGATAAGACTACAAGCTGTTTTACTAATAGTCTGTATCACGCTTTTAGAAGAGACAGAAATTACACAAATATTAGCAAACAAATACTAAGCTTTCATAATGTCCCCATGTCGCATGTAACACATGCAAGACAATGGAAAAACTGTTAAGCGCTGTTCTTCCTAAACTGACCTCTATACTTTCTTACTAGAACACTAATATTATCATATCAATGTACAGAACACTAAGATTATCATATGGTAATAACTTGGGGAAAAGCCTTCACAATTATTCTGTATGTTATTTGAAGAAAACAAAATCAACTCCCACTCCACTCTCTTGAAAAAGGAAGCTTAAAGAAGCCAAGCATCTTTCCTTGCCTCTGACTTCAGATGTAAATGAAGTTGCCTAAACATTCTCTAAATAACTAGACCCAAACATATTACATTGTGGGGACTAACTGTAATTGCACTGCAGATGAACCTGGACGTTAACTGTTTTTAATTCCAACATATATTGTTCCTCTCACTGCAATCCTGCAAGAAAAAGCATTATGTGGTAAAATTATCTAATTATCTATTTCTATACTATAACCGCCCCCTGTTTTATCTATTAGTCTATTGCCATAAAATATAATTGTGTCTATTTCATTTCTTAAAGGTTATTCTTGATTTTCTCAAATAAGCCAGCATGAGCTTTGAAATTATCCTTTGTGCAAATACAATGCTGCTGTAATCCTCATTTGTTATGAGCACCCAATCATTTACCGAAAGTTTCAGTAAGGTCTTTGTCATTCTCCTCTTCTGTATTTCTCTTTCTGTGTTCTCCTTATTATTTCCTTTACCGTTAGTACAGTTCGGGAACATTTTAATCTTTGTTGACCTACTCAGTTTACTCTGGTTTTACACTTGCTCTGAAGAGCAACTCAGATTTGCTGTGCAGCCTGTTATTCTAGACATTGACATATTAACAACTTTCACTGTTGCCAGGAAGGCCATCTACAATAATTTACTTTGCTTTAATCTATTTATTTATGAATTCACTGCTTCTGCTTTTATATCCACAAACATACATTTAAGAGTAGAATTTCACTCTCAGGATGCAGTTGCTGTTTCTGAACATTAGACAGTTTTAACTGCTGTTATTTCTTCAATATTCACTGCTAATAACTACTGGAATATCAACCATAGGCCAGGGCCACTAGTATAATCTTATTTTAAAATATTTATTAAACATCTCAGTCTGTGTACCAGAAAAGAGAAGTGATTTTATGGCAAAAGAAGAGTAACATCTTTGATGGTGTATACATAAAAACTTAAACAGGTGAAGTAATGTGTGCTCCACACAATGTGTGAGAAAGTAATTTTAACTTTTGAAATACTAAAGGCAAAACAAAAATTAGGAAGAAACTCAGAATTAAAAATATGTATGTCATTTTTACCTTGCTATGTTCAGCTCAGAAAGATCTAATCAATCTCATACAATTCTGACTTCATTGTAATATTGCCTGTCAATGAAAAAGCCCTCAAAAGGTGTATTTTTTTTCTTCCCCCAATTAAACATTTTCCTAAAGGAAATATCCAAAATTATTCTGTGCCAACATGTATATGGTCTGCATCCTTAGCTTCTGAATCATTCCCTTAATATGCAAAGACATAATGTTCTTACTTAGTAGAAGAAACAGAATGAACGCAGTATTGGAGCTTTTGTGTACAGTATGTACTACTATAAAAATTTGGTCTGTGTAAAACTAAATGTAAAAAAAAAATCCAAATATTTTTAACTATGAAGAAGTAGAAGAAAAACTAAAGGAACATCTTGTAATTTTGAAAATACTGTATAATCTGATGTTATTTGTTGGAGTAAGTTGTATGGCATACCTAAGTACCTTTCATGGGGTACACAAAACAGCGACCTAACTACATTTATTTTTTCCAACAAATTCACTTAGTCAACCATATAAATACAATTTAATGTTTTTGAGCCCTATATGTGTATCAGTACATTTAGATGGCTGTAAGCCATGGGGATATGGCTATCCTTCAAAATTTTACCCAAACCAAATTGGAGTAAGAGATACTCCTTCTTACAGTCCCTTTTTAGACAGCAGTCATTCCTCTGATAGGATACAGCTTTCAAACTCATAGTAGAACATAATTCATGGAATGAAATATGATATACTATGTAGGAGATGTATTTTCTAACATTTCTGATTAATTCATAACTGTAATATAAACACGGGTCCTGAAGGCACAATTGATTTGTTTTTTAAAATCAGTGTGTAAAAAGAACTCATTAGCATGAATTTTATTTTGTAAATGTAATGCACCTTTCTGAGTTCCTAGCTAGAACACTGTATCTGTCAAAGTTTGAAAAATCATTATTTATACAATTTTCTAAACCTTTCGCTATTTTTGTAGGAAAAAGGAAGAATGTTACCAGTTTGCCTAAATTAGCATTGCTTTGCCTAAACTTGTGCTGGTTGCCTAGCCCTTTGGTGCTGGGTGAGCAAGAAAGATCCGTTCCTCTTGAAGAAGCACTCAAGTTCCTTATAAACAGTTAACAAGGAGGTGCAGAAGATTTCCTGAGAATGATCCATCCCAGCTAAGTTAAGCATCTGCCTGTCTTCAAAGCCTGTAGAAGAGAGCTTCACCTGCTGGAGGCCACTATCCATAATTTGGAAGTCACTCTTCCTACTGCGTGTATGAAGCACGGTTTCTCAAACTGGAAGTGGAACAGACATGGCTAGGGCTACACCAGAAGACCCACAGGATATACTGTGGGTCGTGTATATGCACCAGACACGTGTCGTGGCTGCCTGCCAGGCAGGCCCTTTGCTATTGCCTCAGCTACTTGGCATGTTGTCAGTAGGCTGTGCTGAGTGGCTGTGGGAAGGGGGTCCCAATCAGCAGCCCTCAAAATGGAGGGGGCAGGAGAATGGAGGACATCCTGGGGAACGTTTGTGTGTAGACGTGGGCAAAGAGAAAGAGGCAGCAAGAAAGGTTTGAGAACTCTTAAGGTGTCCTACATGTACATACCTAACCTTCCACTGAAAAAGAGATCTGTTATAGTGCAAGCCTGTGACTTCATCACAGAAAGAAATTAACAGCAGCAGCCTGTTCCCACAGTCGTATAATAGCTCAGTGATGGAAATCTTGGGTTTTATGCCCTCCTCTACCTCAAGAGGCCTCAATCCACATCTTAGTAAATGCCAGGCTCATGACTACTGCAGGGAGAGAGGACTGCACTTTTCACCTTTCCTTTTGAAACTGAGTGTACAGCAAAGAGTGCAAACCTTAGGAAGCTTGGAGCAGAGTGAACAAGAAAGAACGAGATTTTCCACTAAGTAGGGAATAAAAGTAGGTTCAGGATCTGCTCCCCAAAATGCATATATATTTTTACAGTAGACCTGATTCTAGATTAAAGGAAACGAAAAGAAAAATGCCCAGGTAGCACAGGGTGTTCTGCACGCGATACAGACAAACTGTGCATATGAAAGAGGCCTGGGTGCAGTAGGTCTGATGTTTCCTAGAAGTACATGCAGATCGATTGCACTGGATAGTCATAACACGTCCAAGATTGTCACAAGGAAAGAGACTTGGTACACAGCCTTCTGCTAGAAAAAGATATGAGGCCAGCCTGGCCAACGACACTGGGTATGAATTCTTTGTATGAACTAGCAAAGAGAAAGGCAATGTGACACGTATTATTTTATATGACTATTTGCTAAGCAGGAAAGGAATGTTAAGAATCAGGAATCCAGCTTTCTATGCTTGTAGAAGAGCTAGGATAATCTTTGGCTACACTTTTACTGAGCAATTCAGAAATATATTTAATGTGCTAGAATGCATTGACACCTTGCCTCTGCCTTCAAAAATTAATTTTAGAAAGTAGTTCAAATTGCTAAGTTAATTCTCAAAATTCTCCATGGAGTTCTTTTAATCTTTCAGGTGTTAGCTAATTTCAGCTAAACATAATGAGTAAGGCTTTTTTCATTAATACATCTGAGAATTTGACTGTACTTTATTCTACTATATGCTATTATGTTAGATAGCATAATACAGTTAAACCTTCTGGACAAGATGTCAGTGACATCCCAGATGTTTGCAGATAAGGGAGTGATCTCGCCCTCTCATAAATGGATTTGATAATCTCCTAGATGACCTTCTCTGTGGTGGGGGCTGTAGCACAAGCAAGGAGTTCCGTAACCATCTCTCTCTCACCTCCCTGTACCCTAAACTACAGAAACTCCTTCCCAGTACAAGCCACTCCCTGCAGGGCAGTACTCAAGTGACAAGTGACATACTCTGGCACTTCACTGGTGACAACAGGGAGCATCAACAGTCAGCAGAAAGAAGTTCAGACTGAATCCCCTCACCTCTTCCTCCCTAATGGTCCAGAGAGGCTGCGCAGGTGACAGTGTCCCAGCTCTGGGAAGCATGAGGTGACAATCAGGCAGAGGCAAGGACATGGCCACACAGGGCATTACAGAGACATGAGACCCTTGTAAATGCCATGATACAACAGGCACCTAATTTCTTCTTTTTTTTACATTTGGTTTCATGAGTTATTATTTTATCATTTCTGCATGCATTCTACAAACAACCATTCCTGCTTCTGACTTAAGGCAGTTAAATAAACTGCACTGATATGAATTATGCATTGCCTGAATGCAGAACTTCCACATTACTGGTCTGTACCCTGACGTTGCACAATCAGCATTTTTTTCCTGATGCAGACGGGGTGCGCTCTCGCAATGCCACTTAGAGCACATGATATGAAATCTCTCACGCCATATAAAATCAGATTACAAAATGGTCCTTCACTGAGATATTTTAACAGTGTTCTGTGACACTCTTAATGATATTTAGTTGTAGATTTGACATCATTTTAAATTCGTAACTCATTTCATTCTTAACCCCACACTTGCCTGGAATCTAACCAGGCAAACTTTACATAAACTCCAAATGAACTCTGTGTATGTAGGACCAAAGACTTTCCCTGATACGTTTTTTGTAATCTATGAAAAATAATTTTGCAACTTAACACTTTTAAGAAAATAAAAAACCCCTTCCGTTACAACTTTATTGCAGAAACAGAGAAAAAAAAAAAGACTAACCTGCATACACGAGCATGGTGATGAGAAGAGCAATCAAATGGACTTTGTATTTGGGATTAACACCTTCCACTCGCAGGACGCTCAGCTGGAAAACGACAGAAAAGAGCAGTTCTATGCAGAACGCCTGCGTCTCTGTAGTCTGCATGGGGCTGCTGCAGCCCTGCGAGAGTGCTCCAAAATGTGGCTCTGCCATCTCCAGGCTCCAGATGAAGTGCATGAACACTCTGGCAAGCACTGCAGCCACGAACTGAGCGGCGATTTTGAGTCCACCCATCTTGACCGATATCCCACCACCCCACATCGGCTGCAAGGTGCCACAGGGATTGCATGTGCTGCCGGTCAGAGTCAAGCCGTGCAGGACGGTGAAACCGTAGGTGAGAGTGAGGGCGGTATGCGGCTTCGGCTCCACATTGCCGAGCAAGCAGAGCTCGTTAGTGCAGGCACAAATCTGGAAGGTGCTAAACATCTCCAACAGGAAAGTGCAAAGGCGCTGGTGGGCATGCAGCCGGCGGCGGGTCAATCTCCTGCACAGCCCCACCGCTACCATGATGCCGGCCATCAGCAGGAGCGAGGTCCCGACCCCACCGCCAGCCATGGCGAAAGTTTCACAGGCCGAAGGACTCGAAGGAGGAGTTCACCCTGGTCCAGCCCCGGCACCTACGGGGAGAAAGAAAGTGGGAGAGGGAGGGAAAATGACCACCCTTTCCCTTCGAGGCAGGAGCCAGCTTCTGTCCCCACCTGCTTGCAGCCTGCGAGATGTCTGACTCACCCTCCGCTTGACAGGGAGCAAAGGGCAGGGGAGCCCGGCTTGACAGGGGTGAGGAGGGCAGGGGGATCCCTCTCCCCTCCGCTCCCCGCCGGGGAAGGGGTCAGGAGAAGGAAGGTCTCTCCCTGCGGTGGAAAAGAGGCACGGGGGTGGGGGAAGAAAGGGGGCTCTGCTTTCCCTCAGCCCCTCGGCGGCGGGACGGACGGAGCTCCCCTCAGCCCGCGGCGGAGGCCGGGGG